AAGAAGAAGAAGAAGAAGAAGAAATCACTTCCAAATATTATCTCATTCCCCGGGACATAAATTAATGTTTCCTGCCCTTTTAAAACTATAATTCTTGCCTATTTCTGCCAACGTGATTTTCCTGACTTTTGTTGTGGCCTGCCAATGTCCAGAAGAGCTGGCAGCAGAGTTGGACAGTGAGGAGGTTGGGGAGGAACATGGGCCAGTCCTGGGGGGGAGGGGGGGGCTGAGGAAAGCTCAGATGAGGGCTCTGCGTCGGAGGCAGAGAGGGAGCTAAACACGGACTTAGGGTGATGTACCCCAAAGCAATACAACCAATACAGGGAGCACTTCAAACGAGTGAAAACACAATAGCAAAAGCGAAGACTGGAATTATTTTAGACTCGATGAAGAATTATGGGCTCCTTTCTTTGATGATATATCGCTGCGATGGCAAACCCAAATGACACACAGTCATTTCTCAGGGCACATGAGGCATTGCCCTGTAAGCTGGCCAGTGCGCAGGAACAAGCATGTCAAAAATCGCCCCTACGGACAAACCGGAAGTCACTTCTGATTTGCTCGTATGGCCATTTTTCACCCTCCGGAGCCTTCAGGGAAGCCTCCTGAAGGCCCCTAAAGGCCGCGGAGGTTGAAAACCGGCCGTACGGGCAACCCAGAAGTTTGGGAATTGTGATTTCCGGTTTGTCCGTAGGGCTGATTTTCGACATCCGGAGCCTGTTTTCGCCCTCCCCAGGCTCCTAGAAAGCCTCTGGAGCTTGGGGAAGGTGAAAAAACTGCAGCAAAAGCGGGAGGAGGGTGTTGCTGATTGCGCGCATGTGCGCTGGGGGCATGCACATGCATAGCATTATGGGTGTGGCATGCTGGCTTTTGGCACGGCAGCCAAAAAAGGCTTGCCATCACTGATATGTTAGTTTTTTTTCTTGACTCTCCATGGTCTTCTCAGGGAGTTTTTCTCCAGTGTCCCAAAGGGTCAATCCTCTTGTGCTTTCCTTTTTTTCTAGATCTGCACCATTAGCAATAGCAATAGCAGTTAGACTTATNTGACTCTGTAAACCGCTTAGAGAGGGCTGAAAGCCCTATGAAGCGGTATATAAGTCTAACTGCTATTGCTATTGCTATTGCTATTGCTAAGTCTGGGCACTGATGATTTAAGGGACTTTTAATCCCTTTAGAAGTTTAAAAAGTAAAGAAGATATATTAAATAAATAATAGCAATAGCACTTAAACTTATATACCGCTTCACAATGCTTTACAGCCCTCTCTAAGCGGTTTACAGAATCAACCTATTGTCCCCGCAACAATCTGGGAACTCGTTTTACCCACCTCGGAAGGAGGGGAAGCTGAGTTGATCTTGAGCCAATTGGTCAGGATCGAACTCCTGATAGTGGGCAGAATTAACCTATGATACTGCGCTCTGCATATGATACTGGGAAGGGAGGAAGGAAAGAAGGAAGAAAGAAGAAGAGAGAGAGGGAGGGGGACAGAAAGAAGGAATAGTACTTAAGACTTACATACTGTTTCACAGTGCTTTACAGCTCTCTCTAAGCAGTTTATGTCAGCCTATTGCCCCCCAACAATTTGGGTCCTCATTTTACCGACCTCGGAAGGAGGGAAGCAGAGGTGGGTTGTTCCCGGTTTGGCCCGGGTTGGGCAAACCGGTAGTAGTGGTGGTGGGAGATTCCGCCCACCTGCCTGGACGATTCTGCACATGTACAAGCGCGCCTGAACCGGTAGTAAAAAAAATTGGGTGGAGGGAAGGCTGAGTCAAACTTGAGCCTGGTGAGATTCGAACTGCCCAAACTGCAGGCAGCCTGCAGTCAGCAGAAATAGCCTGCAGTACTGAACTCTAACCATTGCACTACCATTTTAAATACTTCAAAAACTCCGCGGAGATTTTTTCCCCCCCCTGGACAGAGGTGACCGTACTGCGGAATTCTGTGTGCATCGTGGCCTGTTGAATTTTCTCTCAGTGTTTCTTAATTTTTGTTTCTGTCTTTAGTCCTACCTTGGATCCTACTACTTGGTCCTTTACTGGCCTTTTATAATCCTCACCCTTATTTACATTTTCTGGGTGATCCCGGACACCACCAGCAAGACATTTGAAGAGATCCAGGAGAGCATAGAGGCCCGCAGAGGCCCTTCCAGAAATTCTAGAAAAATAACAGCTGAATCGTCCTTCTCTCTTCAAAATTGATCTGGAATTTAAAGATGAAATAAATCAGAAGCTCTCTGCAAGCTGAATGTATTGGTATTTTTTTTAAAGTGTACAATGCTACATAGGAGTTTGGCAAAAAAAAAAAGAAGAAGAAGAAGAAGAAGAAATCACTTCCAAATATTATCTCATTCCCCGGGACATAAATTAATGTTTCCTGCCCTTTTAAAACTATAATTCTTGCCTATTTCTGCCAACGTGATTTTCCTGACTTTTGTTG